CCAATCCTTCAAAACTTAGTGCTTTTTTAATTATCTCCTTTTTGTGTTTGTTTGTTTTTCTGGTGTTGTTTTGTTCTGAGTCACAACTTGCTTGAACTTAGGAATGCTGCTTAGCATGGAGGAACAGGGTGATTTCAAAAACAAATGTAATTAAAAAAAAAAAAAAAAAAGCAAAACACCTTTCTGGTGCTTACGACTGGTTTCTGAAAATTTGATTTGCTGAATCTTTTTGTTTTCTAGGACTTTGGAAAGGATTTATTTTATAAACTTTTGTATTTGAAACAGGTATATTTTCTTCTAGCTAACATTTTAAGAATTGCTAGAGTTCTTCTACTGTTCTAGGACAGATCATGACAATGAATTGACATTTGTTTATGAAATCACATTCATTCTAATTTTAATTTTTCCTTACATTTTAGGAATTTAAAGCAGTTTTTTTTCAAGCTGCTTGAGTTTTGATCTGGACGTACCAAATATTATACCAATAATATGATACCAGTATTTTTTACACTTTATGGGATCTAATGTCATACTATTCAGGTATTTGTAAAGAAATGCCACATAAAAAGACACTATTACTGAACAGGCATTTTTGTTTGTTTCTTATGTATTCAGGTGGTGCTTCTTTGTAATTTTGTTACTCAGTCAAAATTTACCAGCACTTTTATGTCATTGCCATGGAACAGTCATGAAGTATCTTCCATGGTTCAGAGGATCCTGCAATTTTTTTTGTTTTTCTTTGAAGGATGTATTTAGGAGAAAGATAATGCAGCAGTTTTGAAAATGTATAAAAGAATATTCTTCAAAGTTAGAAGAAAAATTATTTTCAAATTAATGACAGCCAGCTAGCATTTATAGGTCAACTGAGAATCAACCCCTTAAAGTTATTGTAAGGGACTGAGCCCATGGAAAATTTCTTACTTCAGTTAAGTTCAGTTCAAGTTTTGGGAAAGACTCATAATGAACATAGGTAAAATTAAGAAATCAGATTTTTTTTTTTTTTTATTTTCCTGCCTTATGAGGAACTGCTTTACTATTGTTAATTTTATGTCTACTGAGCTGTTTTGGGAAGCATGTGTCTTTATGTATGCATTTTCCTCACAGTGAGTATTTATGATAATTTAAGAAAAAAAGCATTCTTGGCATTTCCCCAAAGAATGTTAGTTTTGAGATGCGGCTGTATTTCTACTTCTGCCTCAACTGAAAAATTAGATACATGGCGATACAGATGCCATGCTATGCCATTTTTGTGTTAAACAATGACACCTACAGAAAAGACTTTTAAAAAAAATTAATAACATGCCCAGTTAAAAGTTGTGTGAAATATATTTATGCAGAAGTATTCAATATTTTTTTCAGTGTTTTGGTTCATGCAAACAAACAACTCATTACTGAAAGTTTGAAGTTGCCAATTCTACTTAAAGATGAAAAATATTTCAATCCTTGCTATTGTATAAAGAAAAAGCAACCAAAAATCCCTCATTCTTAAAGATTTTCTTAGTCTACTATTCACTTATAGTGTTTAGCAGTTGTATGGCCAGAGTATCTAAAACATGCTAAAATTGATGTAAATTGAAAACCAGCAATTAAGTTTATAACTACCATACATTGTCTTAGATTTTTATTGAAAGTAACTGAAAATCAGGAAAACAAGTAACCATTAAAATAATTTTTATGGGTGGGTATGTAAGATGTTTATCTACCTAATGCTTAAAAAATCAGCAGACTTGGTCTGCTTGTTAAAATCAGAATTTCTTAATGTAATTAAAAAAAATTAAATTACAGCTAATTGACTAGTGTAATAGTCTCTTAAAAATTCATTGCTGAAAGAAAACTATTTCCAATTCATGAGATATCACAGTCCAGTTAGTGCTAAGAACTTGATTTCTCAGAATTATGCATTTTTTTGTTTGGTTTTTTTTTTTTTTTTTAGTTTAAAAGCTACCTGAATATGTTACAGTGTCTAGGCCTCAGGCATAGTCATTGCAGCAGTGAAGGCATTTTCTGTTGACTTGTTGTGGGATTCCCCTTGGGATATTCCTTTTTTATTTTCTTCTGACTTGCTTATTATGTTTTCACAACCAATTTCACGAGGGTGACATTTTCTAGAATAGCCAATTTCTGAGGCATCCACCCAGAACAAGGCACATGAGATGTTAAGTATCTGTTTTGAGTCAGTCGTATGAATAACATGAGGCAGATTTTCCAACCATCCAAAGCCTTAAGGCACTAGATCCTATATACTGATTTTTACTTCTTTGCATTTTCTTTGTTTGAGCATTTGATTTTTAAAATGAAGGAAAGACTAGAAAAACTTCTCCTCCTCCTCCACAAAGGGGAGTGTAAACAGAAGAGAAGGGTTGGAAGACTCTGGGGGGAGCCTATTTAACATCTGATGTGTTGCTCATTGCTGCAAGGAGGCAATAGCTGCTATTGGGAGTCACTCCTCCCTTATTTTTTCCCTTTAGCAGGAATTTTTTTGTAGTGTCTCCAAAGACAATGGCAGACTTTACTTTTGAGGGATTTGCCACAGTGTAGGCAGCAGCCAATTTTTCTTATGCCTTTAAGTTAGACCTGAATCTCAGAATAAATGTGCATGAGAATGGCTGCCACAGTGGTGTGACTAAAATGAAATTCTTGCTATACTATTGTAATAGTGGTTCTCCTTGTTGATTTTGCAACTTAAATGAGTGATATATGCATAGACCAAAAGAAAATTTTAGTTTACTGAACTGTTTCTTATTCTTGTATTTACTGGGACTTGCTTTGGTAGAATCAAGCTTTATAGCTACTCCATGGTTTCACTGCAAAAGTATCCATAAATACAAATGAATACATACATACATGCATACACACACATATATGCAAATGTATGTATATATTTGCATTTATTTCACAGTGATCAGCAATATTGTCTTTTGATGTATGGTCAGAAAGGATGTGTTTGGATATGCTTTCACAGTCAGAACCTGTTTAGTGGATTTGTAATTGCATGGTAAATTCCTGTGGTTCTTTGGGCAGTATTTATTAGGCTCACACAGAGCGAGGAGCTGACTCTTGCTAGTACCCCGGAGGCTGAAGATATCAGCTTCAGGATTTCCTGCGGCATCAGTTAGTGCAGTGACTGAGAAATGAGATTTTGATTTCAGAAAGCTTGACTAAGTTCTGCAGTAAAATGTGGCATAAAACATTGGGGTATCTACTCACTGTGTCCCTGGAAAATTAACCTTTATTTCTAGCTTCTAAATTTCTAAGGATCTATATTATTTATAACTGCCAGTGGTCATGGTACTTTGTTAAATTTTAAACTTAACTAAAAGTATTAGCATTACACATAATTTACCTCCTAGTAATCCCATATTTCATATTTAATTTCTTGCCTAAATTTATTGCCTAAATTTTCTGAAATATCATGTGAATGGAGTCAAATGACAGTCTTTCACCTGTAATGCTAAAATGTGGAAGCTTATTCACAGCCAATGAATGAGCAAATGCTTCTGTGTTTCTCTGTGAGTACAAATATTGTTATAAAAATAAGATATCACAAACTGTTGTCAAAATATATTCTCTCACTCTCTCATCTTTAATAAAGTCATAATAATAAATGCAGTGGGTTTGTGCTTAGTTCTGAAATGTCTTGAAATGTTAAGCTTTAAGATGGATTATATATGAATATATTATATATTGTTTATATAATATTATATATTGTTTATATAATATTATATATTGTTTAAGCAATTCTTCCCATAATGTGCTTTTTTTACACTCCTACTGTTTCTTATTTCTAACCCGTTCTCTTCTAAGATGAAGATTTTTTAAGATACTGCTTTCAAAAAATGTCTTGGATAGTCAGTAACCTATCAATGAAAGTGCAAAAGATTCACTGTCTCTTTAGAAATCAAAGCTTGTAGTATGTGGTTCCTTCTGAGATTTTTTTCAGTTGCTGTCCAGTGCTGTGATTAACAGAGGTCAATATCAAAACCACATTGGTTTAATCTGGGTCTTATTTATAATATTAAAGAACCATTGATCCCAGCCCTTTTTCATCCCCCATTAGACAGGAATATTTTTGCATAAGCTCCTGTCATGAATATAGATAGCACAGATAGGTTACTGTCTAGCTTGACTAGACAGAGGATTTGACCTCCCTTTCCCTTTTTAACACACTGAAATATTAGATGTTAGTCCTATCAGCCATTCCAGAAGAAAGCTGATAATCATCATGAGTAGATGGCACCTTCTTAGTTATATGGGGAATTAACAAAATGTTTGGTCCCTGCTTTCACCAGCTGCTTATACCACTTAATCCTCAGAGTAAGAAAATAGAAATGCAAAACTTTTATTCACATCTTAGGGGTGAAGGCTTAGACATAGTGTATGCTCCACTTCTTTCCACTCTAATTAACATTTACTTTTGATTTAGTGCAGTGAATATGTTAGTTTGAACTTGCTCATGGGAACTTGCTCTCCTAAGAGGAAGTTACAAGTGTCTCTATTGGTTCTTCTGGTGCACTTTTATGTTTCCCCTTTCGCTGTTCCTAAGAAGATGACAAGATTTGTTTTTAATCTGTGCTCAATTTCATTGTGAATCTTGTGCTTAATTTGTGATAATAATAAATGGGAGCAAAACCAATGAAGAAGGGCATTATTTTCTTTTTCCTCTTGGTGGGGGCAGAATAGATTACATGATGAAAAGAAAGAACTAGGTGTTCCAGGAGATCTGTTATAAAGTTTTAACAGGGACACAATGAAATTTTAATGTGTAGACAAAATTGTAACTTAAACTCCAGGGTTAAATGTGCTGTGTGCATGTGTTTATTATATGGTGATTTTAGTTTATATAATTTTTTAAAGAAAAAATAGATAATTTTTAGTGCATTAAATTACTCAGAAAAAACTGTATTTAGCTTTCCCACAAGGTCAATGTTATGATTATTTAGTTTAAGGTTGTTTCAGCACTAATGTACAATCAGTGTTTCTTTCTTTTTTTGGTACTCTAGGAAGCAGTCACAGAAAGACAGAAGATGAAAGCTCCTATTCCCAACTTGGTTCTCTTGTATGCTACTCTAACTCAGAGCTTGAAGGTTGTGACCAAAAGGGGATCAGGTAAGTAAATCTTTATCTCTGTGGTTACAATGTGGTTTGGAAAGAAGTGCTTAATGTTTGCAAGTATATACTAGGATATTATTATGGTGGTTTGGAACATTGTTAGGAGAATTTCAAATTCTGCAGCAAAAAAGATATTTCTATATATTTTTAGACTACTGTGTCCTGTGGACTTGGTGAAAAAACCCAAAAATATTAAAATCAGATATGTAATGTGAACTGAATGTAACCATTCATCTGTTGAAGGAAAGTTATTCCCAGAACTATCTGACTTAAAAGACTTTGTTGCAGTCAGTGTTGTTATGATACTGGATTTATCTGTTTGACTATATAATTTTGGAAATGAAGATCATAGAGTTTTCGTTCAAGCAACTGATTTTTGTAACACAACAAATAGATCAAACACATTAAATTTAATACCCATGAAAAGTGAGCAGCAAAATTTGGCTTTTTTAAAGGGATACTTGAAACATGGTTGAAGAGTTTAATTCAGTGAAGAAAATAGAGGCAGTTTTTCAGAAACCAAGTAGAGGGTGATGTGTTTACCAAACATCTTTCATAGTGTTACTACAGATGAATCATCTTCATATGTAAATAAAGAGAACAGCAGTACTGAGGCAGTTGGGTAGTTTTGTGCTCATTTTTTTCCCTGTCACCCTAAAATTCTAGTTTTCCTCTCTTTGGCTTTTCATTGGATAGTGAAAAACAAAATAGGATACTACTTATGCAAAATGTCTTGCTGTATAGCACTAAAGAAAACTAAATCCTTAATGAAAGTCTTAATCCCTTGTTGATGGAATTAATTAATTAGGTTTGTTGTTGCTAGTCATTTTCCGTTTAGCATTGGGGTGTTTTAGGTAGCTTTTGTTGCTCTTCCAGAAGTCTGGCTTTGATTTGTTTTTGTATTTTGGTTGGTAGTAGTTGTAAGCTGGAGCTTGGGGAGAACACAGGTCTTTATTCATTTTGGCCAACAGCTTAAATCATGTCTTGTATTTTCAATGGATTATATTTGTGACAAAATAATGAAACTAGTTATGTCTCCAATATCTTAGTGCCTGGAAATGTAGATTGAGGGAAGGCAAATAAGGAGTACTACTATAAATTAAGGTATTCCTCAATCAAGACTCAAGATAAAATTATATTTGGGGTTATTTGAACTCAAGAAAACTGAAATATACCGTTTGTGTACAGAGCAAAGGAGCTGGTGGTGGGTTGACATGTTTATAGTAGGATGTTGAGGCCTAGATAGATAACGTAGATATCCTTTGAATGTGTCTGGGTAGAGTGTTCTGTTTGATTAAGATTTAATGCTTGTTAGCTTTAAGACCCCTTAATCCAAATTTAATACAAAGATTATTGAACATCCTAAAGTAAATTTTTCAAAGGCATCCATTCTTAAGGAACAAAAAAATGACCAGTCATCAGATACTTGTTACTTGAAAGTGATGATAATAAGAACTTGGGTTGTCTTTGTATTTTATTTCATAATTTTTGCCTGTATCATCTTCCTCTGATTAACCAGTGCAAGGAAAAGTGTAAATATGCAATTAAATTCCGATCAGGAAAATAATATAATTGCTGTCCAGCAAAAAAAAGAGCTTACAAAACTTTTCAAGATGTATAGAATACTTTCTGAACCTGTTGTAATATAAAGGAAAAGCTATAATGAAAATCTTTGGATCATGCTTCACTGCAACATGGGGTTCTTGATGTTTTCGTGTGAGATCGGGGGCGGTTTGTCATACTGTGTGTGAAGCAAAAGTCTCTTATTTACTGAAATCTGCCTTTGATCATGTTTTTTTGTGATTTAAATTGGAAGAACTTCCTCAGACATAGGTGGAATGTAGTAACATGTGTGATGGTGCTTGGTTTGCTTTTGTTGTGGTTTGGTTTGGTTTCGTTTTTTCCTCCCTTGGATGCTCAGCAGGCCTATTCTTGCAACCCTGAAGTGTTTCTACAAAGAAAACCTTATTTACTTTAATGAAAGCTTTAACAAAATAAGACTGACTTATCTGTACTGTGAAAATAGAAACGGTTTCCTAAAGCTAATGCAACTTACAAATGGAAGTAGGAAAGAAAAATCAACTTGGAAAGAACTTTAGTTTTATGTGAACTTGCTAATCAGAGGCAGAGGGTGGCAAAGACATGCTTTGCATCTCTTTAGTCAGTGAGTTCACTTTGTCCTTGAAATGTTATCATGAAAACAAAATGAATAGACAAAAAAATTATACTTATGTCATAATTATAAATATGGAGTATTATATATATGGAGTATCCATGTTTTAGAGATATATTATTTTTCTGTATTTCCTTCTCTGTTATGAATTACAGGACTGTATTGTAGGTAAAGAAGTTATTGCATTAATATACTAAATATTTATCTTAATTGTGAACTATTCCTTCTAATTCATTTTTGTTGAGCTTATTTCTAAGTACCAAACCTGAAATCACAGATCTTGTGTTCTTTATATATTTCATTTATTTATTTATTTCATATGTATTACATATTTTATATAAACTGATTTAAATTTAATATATATTTGTATATTTTATATATATTTTTTCTGTATTTAATGTTATGAAGATATCTGTGTTTGAAAATATGACTTTTCAATACTGTCAATTGGATTTTTTCTGCAAGAGTACTTCAGCTCTCTTCTTTTGTAAGTTTTCTATCAGCTGTGCAAAAAAGATAGTGATTAATAAAAGTATGACTTTCTCCGTCTGGTAGAAATACATTTCCAACTACTTCTCTGATCTGTCAAGAACATGACAACTTACCTTCAGAAAGTCACTGAGGATTCACAGCAAGTCAAAAATGTGGAATAATTTGTGGGCTCAAATTCTGGATTTATTTCTAAAAATGGATAGTAATTCTGACTGTTTATTGGCTTTCAGGCCAATCAAATAATTAGCTATATGTGTAAACAATTAGGATCAGTATAGTATTCTTTTGTTTGAAAAGAAGGTTAAACTTCACAATAGAAGAAATCTTAGGTTGTGCTGCATTTGGATTAGGTCTATAATATTGAGAGCTGTCATTATGCAGAGCACTTAAATTAAATTACTTAAAGGCAGTCCTTGAATCTTTCTACCTCTTTGTGCTATTAATCAGTTAAATATAATAATATAGGGAATAAAGAGAGCAGTATTAATCAAATATTTATTATACTAGCCAGGAAACATGCTTTAAATTAGCTTGCTCACAGCTGTGTGACATACCTGTTTAACATTTACCTCATAGGTATGATTGTGTTTCTGACAGAAAATAAATTTTTTTTCCAGTTAATATTTTAGATAGGGTCTTAACAGTTTCAAGTTACTCTTTAACATATTTTGCATCTTTAACTTATTTTACATTAACTTTGCAGTTAGAACCACTGACTTCATAGTGGATGTAAAGTTTATTAATTGTGTGTTTAAGACATTCAGTGAAGTCTCAATGAACTTCTGGAGAGGCTTCAGAACCTGTAATAGTAACTGCAAAGATAACCTTCATTTGGCATGTAATAAATCTCAGATATGATCTTCTAAATGGGAAGTTGACTCCTGTACTGCTTCTCAGCTTCTTGAAATATCTTAAAGCGTCTTCCTTTATGAAACAATTCCTCAATTTGATCACTGCATCCTGCTTGATGCAAAGGAAGAATAAATACTTAAAGCCTATGTATTTTGATCTGTTCAGCATGTAGTTTTACAAGAATTGACTTAAACCTCAAAAATGCAGGAAATAATGCCTGTTTTTTAGCATGAAGCCAAACTACATATAAATTTATGATATGCCTAAAAAGATATAATTTTTGTGCAATTTGCTGCCCAGTGCAGCCCCTGATAGTATTTTGAGAACTCTATGTTGATAAAGAGTTCTAAATGTTTTCCTTTCAGTGGTTTTTCCTGAAATTATCCATTTTCATAGTTTGAACTAAATTGTTGATTTTTATTTCTTTTTAACCATGTGATTTTACATCCTTAGAAAGTTGGGTTTCTAAAAGTCTGTTCTTTACAGGTTGAATGGTATTTGATCACTTACTTGCGGTGAATAGAGTTTTTGCTTATGAATTATTTAATATTCATCAAACAGGAAGTAGGTTAGGAAAGAGAGCTTCATGCTGATGCATACAGACTTTTTTCCTTATAATATGTATGTTAAATGAAATACTTGAACACTGCATTGCCATCTGGTGGTTTTTTCCAAGGATGCTGAATAGACAAAAGAGAGAAAAGTTTGGGATTTTGGTTTGGGAATTTTTTTTGTTTGATTGGGGTTTTTTGTTTATTTAGGGGTTTTGTTTGTTTTTGTTAGAACAAAATCTGTTAAAAGGGAAAATGTGGGAAAAAATATCTAAAGAAATTTCATTACAGAAAGCAATAATGAGCTGATCAGTATATTCAGACAGTATTAGTGTATTTGTTTTTTTTACACTAAGATTGCCTAATAATCTGGTGTTGACTTGTATCAAAAGAGGTGAGAGCTGCCTGCAGTTCTCTGCTTTTCTACAGATTATTTTGCATTATGAGTTAATTAATTAATTAATATTCTCTGTTCAGTTCTGCTATGGTGAATGGAAATTTTCTTTTCTAGATCAGATTTGTTCTCTGCTGGAATAATCTTATTGGAAGGAGAGTCTTTACAGTGATGGATTATTGGGATATGTATGAGGTCCTTCACATAATTATGATGAGATTAAAGGCTACATATATATTTTTGTGATGTGGGAGAAGACTACTTCTTTTTTTAATGTCTACTATTTTTGTACCTTAGCTATTATTAGTCAATATGGCTGATTCTTTTTGTTGTACTTGTATGGAAGATCAACATTATGAAAAAAGGTAGTAAAGAGCTTTGACACTGCAATGCTATTTCTGACTTTTAGTATATTTTTTGTAGGAGCAATGTAGTAAATGTAGTAAATGAAGTAAAATGTAGTAAATGAAGTAAAAATAATTCAAGATTTTTTTTTTTTTATTTTCTAAAACCAGTGGAATTCTGAGTAACAGAC